TCCTCATCTTCATAGTAGTTAGCAATGGCATCATTGGTGCTATCTCCCTCAGAGTCAGATCCTCCATCATCCTTCACAGCAGCTTTTCCCTTCTCCCCCTTTTTCGAACTACGGGATGCCGAAGGGCCTGTCCCCGCAATCTTTCGAGTGGTCCCCTTAACCGCCTGCAACACTTGCTTGAGATAGGTCTGCTGAGTTGCAACCCGTTTAGCTATCGCGTCCCATTCACCAAGCTATTGAGCCACAAATTCTCCCCAGTTTTTAGGAACCAAGGAGGGAGCCAGTTCCCGTGTTACCTTGGAGGTTCCCTTTTCATTGAGAGTACGAGCACTCACGGTGAATGCTTTGCCCGGGTTCTCAAGAGAATCTTGATAGCGAGGATTAACAGCAAAGTTGTGGGCACTCAAGAAAGACCAAATAAGACAGGGAAAAGGGAGGGTTTTGCGAGATTCAATATTTGTAACAAAGGTATGAAGGATATCAAAGAACATATGCCCAAAACTAAAAATCTGCCCAATCATAACGCAATAGATCACCTTACTCTGGGACTCAGTGAGAAGAGTTTTATTGGAAGTTGGAGTCCAATTCCCAGCACCAATCTTATGCAACAGATTGGCAACCAAACAAATTGAACTAACAGGCAAATTAGAACCAGGCCAAGTATCCAATTGACCAGAAGTAAGAACTTTGGTCATGGTATCCAGATTAACATCAGAAAAGGAGGAGTTATCAAGATCAGAAGGTAGGCCCAGATGAGTATTAAACAGATTGGGAGACACATCAATCACACGATTGCGAAGAAAAAGCTTGTGAAAATTGGGACTATTGGGATCAAACACAGCAGGGGTGATATTAGCATAAAACTCTTTGACAACTTGCCCACAGAAGGGTTGAAGATCAGACACAGTTTTAGACAAACCCACAGACTCGATCAAACGAAGAATGCCAAGATCAGCAAACTTACCATCTTCCACAGCACGTTCGGACCAGAAACCATAGGAACCAAAAGAAACAAAGCGCTCATGAGCCGCCTCAGTATAGAACCGATTAGTGAAGGTGTTCTCAAGATCATAAGCATCATCCTCAGGTTCTGGCGGAACCAGCGGTGCATCAATGGATTCTTTGCCACGGCGGCAAGTTGAGCGACGAACAGGCACCTTTGATGGTGGCGTGGGCTGATCAGAATGAACATCAACGAGAGTTGCAGCTGTGTCTTCCTTGTCTTCTTCGCCTGCTTTGGTTGTGGTCTTGGACGTCGTCTTGGTAGCAGATTTGCTCGCAGATGTTGGAACAACAGACGACTCCCCCTGAGCATGAACCGCAAGGGGCTCAACAAACCCAGAGAGACCAGGGACTCCAGTGGCCAAGGGAGAGATCTCAAGATTTTTCTCGGCATTGTCGGAGTTGGGCGGAGAACCAGATGAGGTTGCAGAGATGGAACCCGACTTCTCATGTTGTGGCGACTCAGGGGATGGGGATTTAGCCAGCGGAGGAGATGGTTCACGAGCAGAACTTGTAGAGAGGGATAGACGACGGCGCTTCAGCCGCTTCTCCTTGTGTTTCTTAAGGCGCTTCTTCGACTTGTCCTTGTTACCGGCCATGGGAGAAGGAACGACGATTGAGTTTTGGGAAAAGCAGGGTTTCAGAGGGTTTGAGAATATTGAGAGAAGAAGACAATATCAGATGAAAAAGGACTGATTGAGATTTTGAGAAACGTGAGAGATATAAAGAGTTCTGACAAAGATAACTGCAAAAGGTGGTTTCCGAGATTCAAGGTGAGGAGAGAGAAAGAGACGTTGCAACTTGGGGCGGTTTATGGTAAGAAACTGATCCCTCCAAATCCAAATTCAAACACAATACAACCTCTCACACAAATAACTTCTCACATTATTTCGATTTTTAGGAAAGAAATCAGATTTCATACTTGAGCACATATTCTTCACAAAATTTTAGACTCAAATAGATTATGTTCAAAAAGGAAATCATATGCAAGTATGCCTAAATTATGAGAAATAAAAATAAGGAACTAAATTGCACACAAAATACACCAGATTCAAAAAAACTTTTCCTTCTCAACTTAGACAAAATCGATGAAAATAGCCCAAGACCAACTTTGATATTCAGATTTCCCAAGGAACACACGATAAACGGATATATGTATATACACAAGGTAGTGCGAACCACAACAAGAACACATGCCTTATTATTCATAGTGCGTTTCACTTAGTAACAATCACTGCAATAGTGAATGTCAACCCCACTACTTTGCACCACGATTTTAAGCAAGGATCCTCCATATATTATTTTTTTTTTTTAAATCAGCACTACATTTTTTTTATGAGGGTGGCCACCTTATCGCTCCAAGTAAGAACATCACATAGAAATATGCAATGCGTGTCACTAGCTTACGCCCTTTCTCAACATTTTCTGTCCCAGACGCTCTTTTCACAGTCGATCCCACATTGGAGAAACGAACCATGTGCTAGCTATCGCTCTAGATCATTTATGAGAAGGCAACTCTTTGTGACAAAAGAAAAAAAATACAGAAAATAAGTATGTTCTTCGGTACCATAAGAACACGCAGTCAGTCTTAAACCATCAACACTTCTCAAGTTTTCAGAAGAGTTAGAACTTCAATCAAGAATCCAGTGGTGAAGAGAATGCAAAATGCACGTTATGCCTAATGCAACATACCCTATATGCTTACACGCAATGCAATAGATATTTACTAGTAATATACAATACAATATAATATAATGCATAGTCACACAGGCATTTAGAATGAACAGATCCCTAAGGATTTCCTTAGAGAAATGAACCTTTGAGAATCCAGAGCCTTAGTGAAGATGTCAGCTAACTGGTTTTGTGTAGAAATATGCTCAAGCACAATCACATCATTCTCAACTAAGTCTCTAATAAAGTGATAGCGTATATCGATGTGTTTAGTCCTAGAGTGTTGAACCGGATTCTTAGAGATATTAATGGCACTAGTATCGTCACAAAAGAGGTTCACGGTTCTTACCTCTAGTCCAAACTCAATCACCATCTGCTTCATCCACATGAGTTGAGAACAGCAACTGCCAGCAGATATGTATTCAGCTTCAGC